AAGTCCAACGAACCCCAAACAAGATAGACCCCAAAAGAAAATCACCAAGACATATCATCATCAAACTCACCAAAACCAAAGACAAAGGCAGAATCCTGAAAGCAGCACAAGAAAAACAAAAAGTTACCTACAAAGGACAGCCAGTAAGAATAAGCTCTGATGTCTCAGCAGAAATCATGCAAGTGAGAAGGCAATGGGATGGTATATATAAAACCCTGAAAGAGAAAAATTTTCAACCAAGAATTTACCCGGCAAAATTGTCCCTCAAATATGACGGTGAAATTAGGAGATTTCCAGATAAGCAGAAACTAAGGGAATTTGTTAAAACAAGACCAACCTTACAGGAGATGCTAAAGGGAGTCTTTTGAACAGAGAACCAAAGATAGCAAATAACAACCAACCATTGATACACAGGATGACACATTCCAGTAACCACAGCTATGGACATATCCAAAGTAAAATGAGCTTACAAGACTGTAAACAAAGAACCAGAGACATCAATTGGCAAGTGAGGACAACTACAAACAAAAGGAGGGAAAAGACTGTATAGTTACAGAACTTCTAAATGGTGAAGAAGTTAAGACTTGAGTTTCAAAATACAATGAGCTGTTCTAAACTCAGGGATAAAATTATAAATCATAGGGTAACCTCAAAGAAAAATGATAAAACTTCATCTCACAATGAAAAAGAGGACAAGCACAAATATTCAGCAAATGCTAAAACAACAGCAACAAAGGAAGTGATAACACGATTCATAAACATAACAAGCTCAGCACAGAAAATAATATGGAACAAAGAAACCAGGGACATCATAAAAAACACATAACAAAATGACAGCAACCAATCCATACTTATCAATAATTACACTGAATGTTAATGGATTAAATACACCACTCAAGAGATGGAGAGTTGCAGATTGGATAAGAAAACAAAACTCATCAATATGCTGTCTACAAGAGACACACCTTAGAGACAGAGACAAAAATAGACTAAAAATCGAAGGTTGGAAAAAGATATATCAAGCAAATGGTAACTGTAAGAGAGCAGGAGTGGCAATAATAATTTCTGACCAAATTGACTTTAAAACAAAAACCACCATATGAGACAAAGAAGGACATATATGATTAAAGGATCAATTGAACATGAAGATATAACC